CGTGGGGCCTGAACTCTGGGCCTGGGTGCTGTCCCTCAGCTCTTCAGCTCAAGGCTAGCGCTCTACCACTTGAGCCACAGCGCCACTTCCAGCTTTTTTTCTTTTTGCTTATGTGGTGCTGAGGAATCGAACCCAGGACCTCATGCATGCAAGGCGAGTGCTGTACCACTGAGCCACCTTCCCAGCCCCCAGGTGCTCATTTTTATTACTGTTTTATTACAGTTGTGAAGCCCCTGTGAGGTCTTCCCCCGTGCCCGCTCCGGGCTGGGTGAGTGCTCCCCAGAAGGCTCCTGTAGGCAGACTGGGAGGCAGAAGCTAGGGAGGGGGGTAGGGCTGTGGGGGACCGTGCTGCCTTCTCTGTGGGTATTTATCCTTGCTGAGGGGGGAGCGGGGAGCAGGCCTGTGAGCAGGGCCGCCGTGGGAGCTTGGGAGGCTGGTTGGTCCGTGTTACTTAAGCGGACCGCGGTTTTCTTGTACCGCTGATGGTTCGCGCGTCTGCGCCTCAAATCACTGCGCAGGGCCTGTCAATCTGCAGGTGGGTTTCCCGAGGGGAAGGCTGGCAGCGTTCATGCGGGTTCTGCATGTGGAAGGCAGCGTTCACGCGGGGTCCGCGTGTGGAAGGCAGCGTTCACGCGGGGTCCACGTGTGGAAGGCAGTGTTCACGTGGGGTCCGCGTGTGGATGGCAGTGTTCACGCGGGGTCCGTGCGTGGAAGGCAGCGTTCACACGGGGTCTGCGTGTGGATGGCAGTGTTCACGCGGGTTCTGTGTGTGGAAGGCAACGTTCACGTGGGGTCTGCGTGTGGAAGGCAGCGTTCACGCGGGGTCTGTGTGGAAGGCAGCGTTCACGCGGGGTCCGTGTGTGGAAGGCAGTGTTCACGTGGGGTCTGTGTGTGGAAGGCAGTGTTCACGCGGGGTCCGTGTGTGGAAGGCAGCATTCACGCGGGGTCCGTGTGTGGAAGACAGCGTTCACGCGGGGTCCGTGTGTGGAAGGCAGCGTTCATGCGAGATCTGTGTGTGGAAGGCAGTGTTCATGTGGGGTCCGTGTGTGGAAGGCAGCGTTCATGCGAGATCTGTGTGTGGAAGGCAGTGTTCACGCGGGGTCCGTGCGTGTCTTTTCCATCTTGGCTTTAAGTGTGGTAGTCTCCTGTGTCTGTGACCGGCGGGGTGTGTTCTAGATGACTCGAAGACTAGAACGTTGCTGCGGGGGTCTGAAGGAGTGAGCGATTTCTTCTCCAAGCGGAGCGACAGCACGCCATGCGACCAGGCTGGCTGCGCGGGAGTGGCCGGGCCTGGCCCCGGGGGACCTGGGGCGGGAATCTGGGGCTCTCCCCAGGGAGAGAGCACACAGCACTTTTCTGCGTGTTTCTTGGGAGGGTTTTAGCTTATTTTAGGCTTTGTACTCAGGGCCTGAGCGCTGTCCCTGGCCTTTTGCTCAAGGTGAATACTCTACCACTTTGAGCCACAGCTCTCCAGACTTTTCTGCCTGGGCTGGCTTTGAACTTCAGTCCTCAGATCTTAGCCTCATGAGCCACTGGCACCTGGCTTTATTTTATTTTTGTTTTTTTTTGTCAGTCGTGGGGCCTGAACTCTGGGCCTGGGCGCTGTCCCTCAGCTCTTCAGCTCAAGGCTAGCGCTCTACACTTGAGCCACAGCGCCACTTCCGGCTTTTTCTGCCTATATGGTGCTGAGAAATCGAACCAGGGCCTCATGCATGCAAGGCAAGCGCTCTACCGCTGAGCCACCTTCCCAGCCCGGTTTTGTGTTATTATTTTATACAGCAGTGCGGTCAGGTGAGGGTTAGTGAGATTGTAATGTGTTCTAGTCAGGCGTGTTTCTAACTGAAAAAAGGAAAAAACGCAGGCAGGACAGAGGTAAGAAAGCTTGCGCTCCTGATCACCACTGTGTGGGAATGTCTGCTCTGAATGTCTCTAGTAGTTACTGTATTACTGTGTTTGTACTGTAATGATTGTATTTGCCATTCTTAGTGGTTGCTGATTTTCTGTTGTCAACCTGACGACACTTTGCACAAACTTGATGTGTCTACTTGGATGATAACTCACTAAACACATTTTGCTCCCTAGGGTCAACTCACTGTCCTAAAAACCAAATTTCCCAGGAGAAGAGACAGAAGAGAGAGCTCCTATAAGAAAGGCGTGGGTACCCCATGAACGAGCCAGCAGAAAACCAGTTGGGGTACACCGGGACTCCAGAGCCAGACCTGAGGCTCAGAAAGGGCCACTGCCTTGATGGTAGCCGCGGAGGCCGGGAGGACAGCTGCCCGGGAGGCCTGGAGCCCGCGCTAGGGGCGTCTGTCTGTCCTTCTCAACATTCACACGTGAGTGTGCCAGCAGCGAGGGGGGGGCGTGGGGGGGGGTGGGCCTTTTCTTTCCCTCTTGGTTCTCAGCCAAAGCCGCAGAGTGGGGGGGGGGGGGGTGGGGGGGGCAGCGGGGGGGGGGAGAGAGGCCTGGAGCCCGCGCTAGGGGCTTCTGTCTGTCCTTCTCAACATTCACAGTGAGTGTGCCAACAGCGAGAGGGGGGGCGTGTGTGTGCGCGCGCGTGTGTGCGCATGTGCATGTGTGTGTGCATGCGTGCACATGCCCATGTGCGCACGTGTGGGCATGTGCGCGCATATGTGTGTGTGTGCGCGTGTGTGTGTGCAGGGGGGGAGGAGAGGTGGGACCGGCCCAGTGTGCCGCCCAGCGTGCTGCCCGGGAGCACTGCTCAGAGGCCCAGCGTGCCGCCCGGGAGCACTGCTCAGAGGCCCAGCGTGCTGCCCGGGAGCACTGCTCAGAGGCCCAGCGTGCCGCCCGGGAGTGTTGCTCAGAGGCCCAGCGTGCCGCCCGGGAGCACTGCTCAGAGGCCCAGCGTGCCGCCCGGGAGCACTGCTCAGAGGCCCAGCGTGCCGCCCGGGAGCACTGCTCAGAGGCCCAGCGTGCCGCCCGGGAGCACTGCTCAGAGGCCCAGCTTCCTGCCGCAGCATTGGAGCCGAGGCCAACCGTGCTGGATTTGAACTGAGCGCCTCCTGCGGGCAGGCCCCTAGACGCTGAGTCTGTCCCCCCAGTGCGGCTTTCCCGCTGTAGTTGTGCTGGACAGGCCTCTCCACTCAGTCATGATGGCTTGGCTGTGCACACGCTTTCAGTGACCCATGCTGCTCTTGTTTCATTGGCTGTCTCCACCCAGGCTCCAACATTGCTCTTGTTTCATTGGCTGTCACCACACAGGCCCCGACACTGCTCTTGTTTCATTGGCTGTCTCCACCCAGGCCCTGATGCTGCTCTTGTTTCATTGGCTGTCTCCACCCAGGCCCCAACATTGCTCTTGTTTCATTGGCTGTCACCACACAGGCCCCGACACTGCTCTTGTTTCATTGGCTGTCTCCACCCAGGCCCCGACATTGCTCTTGTTTCATTGGCTGTCTCCACCCAGGCCCTGATGCTGCTCTTGTTTCATTGGCTGTCTCCACCCAGGCCCTGATGCTGCTCTTGTTTCATTGGCTGTCTCCACGCAGGCCCCGATGCTGCTCCTGTTGCGTGTGTGTTTGGTGTTAGTTCTGTGGCTAGTGGGGGAGCTGCTCTTGCTTGATTCCAGCGGTCTTAGGGATTGAGGTCCTTTTTGTGTTAAAGCGTGCGTCCTGTTTTGAACTGGCTTTGGTGTGGAGTAAGCTGGTCCAGGGCGGCCACGCGTGCCGTTCCCTGTTCTTTCCACATGCTTGGCTGGGAAGGAGCCAATGTGGTGAGCCGTGGGCAGTGAAGGGCTCAGCCGTGCGGTGTGAGCGGCCTGTGCAATGTGAGCGGCCTGTGCGGTGTGAGCAGAGTGAGCACTGTGTGCAGTGTGTGCAGTAAGCACTGTGCAGTGAGCAATGTGAGCAGTGTGCAGTATGAGAAGTGTATACAGTGAGCCCTGTGTGCAGTGAGCACTGTGCAGTGAGCAATGCGTTCAGTGTGTGCAGTGAGCAAAGCGTGCAGTGTGTGCAGTGAGCACTGTGTGTGAGCACTGTGTACTGCACATACTTATTGGAGATAGGAGTCTCACAGACTTTGCTGCCCAGGCTGGCTTTGAACTGTGATCCTCGGATCTCAGCCTCCAGAGTAGCTAGGATGACAGGCCTGAGCCACCTGCACCCGGCTTTTAAATGATGTTTTAAAACCACTTCTGTGTTTAATTAGGCATAGCCCTAGGTTTTGTTGGAGTAAAGACAGGACACTTTGAGGACACACTTGAGGCTGGGTGTGTAGTAGTAATCTGTTATTAATTGCCTGTGTGTGTAATACCTTGTAAAGTAAGAAGAAGGGATTAAACCCCTCCCCCAACTGAATTTAGGGCTGTGTACATGCGCAGGCCACCAGTGCTCTTACCACCAAACCATGGCCCCAGCCCTGGCTTGCCTTTGCTCTTCGTGTGTGTGTGTGTGTGTGTGTGTGTGTGTGTGTGTGTGTGTGTAAGCAGGAGCCTTAATGCTCCTGACCGAGTCTCCCAGTGCTGGGATTACATGTGTGCACTGTCATGCCCGGCCAGAGACCTTGATGACGTGTCCCTACAGGCAGCCTCAGGGTGTCACCCTGGACTTGAGGTAGAGCCTCACCACGTCGCACCCCAGCATGCTGGGCCTGCGGGTGGGCACCCCCGGTCCAGCCCAGGGCAGCTCATTTCTTCATGTTTCTTCCTTAGGACTGGGGAGGACAGTGGGTGACTCATTGGGCCTTTTGTGTGGTGTCGGGGGAGGGGTTGTGGGTGTCTCCCTGGGTGGTGTCACCTGCGTGGGGCCAACGCTGAAGACGTCCTGTGGGCCGCGGGGCTGGGCGCGGCTGGCCGAGGGAGCCCGCTGGCCCGCAGGGGCTCGGGGTTTAGTCTGGAAGGCTGCAGTAGTGGTCTTGTGTGCAGTGTTAGGATGTGGTCTGTGAAGATCGTCTAACCCCAAAGACAAGCCCCACGTGGCTGCTAACCCCGCCTGGCCGTGGGCAGCCGCGTGGCCGCCGCTCCGGGGACCGCGCCCCGCTGCCGGCCGCAGCCCTGACAGCCCTCTGTTTGCCCCACAGGGCGCGGAGCACCCCGGGAGCGACGATGGCGTGTCTCAGGGGGACGAGGGGTTCATGGGCATGTCCCCCCTCCTGCAGGCCCACCACGCCATGGAGAGAGTGGAGGAGTTCGTGTGCAAGGTAAGACTGCGTCCCTCGTCTCCCCGCCAGACGGACGCCTCACGGCAGCATGGGGCTGGGGGGGCCGGGCGGCGGCGGAGACGGTCGCCCGCCTGTCACCCGGTCCCGGGCACCGGGCGTCGGAGCTGGCAGCAGCTGCAGTCAGTCTGGTGATCCCAAACACCATCCTGGTTAAGAGTAAATATGGTGGGGGGGGGAAGGGGGGG